AAGTACACAATCTGTTTCCTTCAACACGTCAACTGCTTTTACCCCCTTTTCTTTAAAATATCAAAAAGTGGTAAAGTCATTTAAAGAGTATTTGAAACACCTATAAAGTATACACGTACCCGAGAAATAGAATCTGAATATATATATATACATATATACGCATATAAATGAAATGTAATCTGATGATATAGGAACAATTTCTATGGTTTCTTTCTTCTTACTCATACTAGATTTTGGAATAAAATACGGATATTCAATTTCAAAGCACATTTGAAAGCAATTACTGACTATATGAAGCTAAAAATATGCTATTAATTGAGAAGGGATTTTTGACCACAACTCAAAAATGTCGTAGGCATCTTCTTTTGGATTACATCGGTGTAATTCTTGTCACATACATTTTAAAGGAATTCTTGCAACCGTCCCAATGGGTGGGACTTGAGGATAATTTCACACCATTTCTGTTCCAGAAGAAAATCCTGTTTGGGAAGGTCCCTGACTCAGTGTAACATGAGATGGGCTGTAAGTGACCATGATTCTGCCTTGACAGCTGACGCTACTCCCTCCACCCCCACCCCACCCCACCGCGCCCCCCAGACCTCCTGTCTGCACCAAGGTTGCTCCAAGAAACCAACCTGGCAAAGTTTATTCATACTATAAATACCGGCGCACAATATGGATAAAGCAGCATCTCCTCAAGAAATACGTTATGTTTGTTTGCCAGATTTGTACGTAGATGAGTTCATGGGTTTCTTAGATGAAGCTGGAAACACCATTCTTATCGCAGATCTAAACAAGGACGAGCAAATGTTCACCGATCATTTTCAAATTGCTTCATCACAGGTCTTTGGCGTCTGATTATGGTGTCACCTTGGCTGGGGGATTTATTTTCTACATCTCCATGCTACTCGGAATCATAAGGTTTAACACAGGGAGTAACGAGCGTAACAAATTCGGCTCAGTGACACTTGAAGGGAACAGAAAGCTCCACTTCACTTAGTGAGTGGCAGCAGGTTGTCCCTTGCAACTTCGGCTCAGTGACACTTGAAGGGAACAGAAAGCTCACTTCACTTAGTGGCCACAGGTTGTCCCCTGCAATTTGCGATTCGACCCCTACCTAGAGGCCTCGGTCAACACAAACACGAAGACTGAGAACCGGAAGCCCCAGTCCCAGGAAATCAGACAAGCCGCGTGTCACGTTCAGGAGATCCTGGGGTTGGGGTCTGGTGGGAGAATCCAAGAGGGCACCTTGTCTCTCTGCACCTCCCCTCGAGAATGTGCTAGAACACTGGACAGAGAAAGGGAGTGCCTGGACCCCAGCCTCAGTCTCGCCACCGTCTCTGTGGCCTTGGGGAAGCCCCTTGACCTTCCTGGGCCTCTATTTCTTCATCTGTAAAACGAAGCCCGGGGCTTCGTCCACCAAATATGGACCGCCCGCTCCCTGCGGGGTCTGTGCCGGGCGTGGGAGCATCGTGATGAGTCAGACAAGCACGGTCCCCACGCAGAACCCAAGAAGCTCAGATCTCGAGGAGGAAAGCAAGCCGAGACCATTTCAAAGCGCGCGGATATTTTAATAATGCCAGTCATGACAATAACCGGCATTTATGGGAACTATGTGCAAGGACTTGTTCTAAAGATCATCTCTTGCCATCTTTTAACAACCATACAAGACGGCTCGTTATAAAAACTCATCCCATTTTGTACGTGGGAAAATTGGGCCTTGATGAAGTTAACCAGCTCACGATCACCCAGATAAAAGCGAGGATGGCCCACGACGTGTCTGGCCAGTCCCCACGCCCGGTCTGTTACTCCCAGTGCTGCACTGACTTCCTTCTTAAACGACCACAGATCTGGGGACGGTGTTCAGAACTGGCTCTTTTACCCAAGGGCCATTTCACAGTCTCCTCGTAAACAGGGATTTATCCATGGCTCACGCTGGGGCGTTGACTGAAGTCTCCGTCTTGTTTGCTCCTACTGGAGCTCTAGAAGGCGGCAAGGGACGCGAGCGGCGGGTGGTGGAGGCGGGAATGCTCCCGAGCCCCTCGGCTGCCCCCCTGGGTCACACACATTAAACCCGGCCTGCTCCCCTCACCAAACAGTGAGCCATACAATCAGTCAGTGGATGGCAAATCAACTCAAAAGACTAAGTAACAGAGATACACAGGCACAGCGCATTTCCCAGACCTTTACACTGATTCCAGCCTTGATTATCTTCCAATTTTGAAGTGACATCAAATGGTGGTTATGCAGGGAAGAGAAGGCCAAACTGTCACAGCTCAAGCTGCTTCTGAACGAGGGACACTAAAGCCGCCAACCTGATGAGCGCCAACTCCGTACCAGCCCCCGTCTGCACGCTGGCTCGCTGACGCCTCAGAACCTAGCCATTCATTCATTCGTTCACTCGCTCACTTATTCATTCAACCACTATTTGTTGGGTGCTCCCTTGGTGCCAGGCACTGAACTAGGACAAGGTCTCTGCCCTCAGGGAGCACACAGACTAGTGAGGAAGACACACAACGGCCGAATAAACCAATAACGAAGGCACGGTCGTGAATCAGCAGGACGTCCCTTGTCGCTCAGAGCTTGGGACATGCAGGCCGAGGGGGCTCGACATCTTAAAGGGCACAAAACAACTGGGGATCCGGAGCTTCCTTCCGGTCTCCCATCTGGCTGACCATTAGAAGCGGGGGGTGCTCAGCACGAACACGGAGGCCTGGAGCCCGCCCCGCAGAAACGTCAGGTCAGAAGCTCGGGAGGCGCGGCGCTGGGAATCGGATCCAACCACTGACCTTTCTGCTCTCGTTTGGCCCAGAAAACTTTGACTCGCTCGCGAATGTGCTTGTTCTCACGCAGCTTCTTTTGCCACTGGCGCAATTCCTGAATCTCGGGATCGCAGCGGACCTGGAAAACGCCCACAGAGCGTTAGTTCCCTGCCCACGTCCTTCTGTGCATTCACTCGCTAACCCTGCATGGAGCACCCTCTCCAAGTGGATATACTCTCGATTCTGAATGAATGCTCTCTACTCCTAAAGCTCACGTGGTATTTGAGCATCAGTGAGGCTGTGCGATGACTGCAATTCTCATGGTAGGCTGAGAACATTCTAGAGCAGTGCTGTCCAACAGAAATATAATGTAGCCACATGCATAATTTAAAATGTCCTTGCAACCTCATCTTAAAAAGTAAAAACGAGCTGGTGAAATCATTTCTAAGAATATATTTTATTTAACCTGAAAGATCCGAAATATCGTTTTGACATGTAATCAATGTCAAAAAACATTATTTATGAGACTGTTTTACTTTCTGCTTTCCATACTAAGTCTTCAATATCTGGTATGTACTTTGTACTCATAGTGCATCTCGATTTGGACTAGACACATTTTCAGTGCTCAACAGCCGTGTATAGCTGGTGGCCGCATACTGGAAAGGTACTTCTAGATCAATGACAGTTCATGCATCAACCACGTTTCTGTCTAACACCAACTGTCTGCATGTCGACCGCATGGGGGTTTTTCTGCTAGGCATTGGGAAAAAAGAGATATATACCCAGGCGTGGAATTGCTAGGTCATATGGTAATTTTACCGTTATCTTATTGAGAAACCACCGACTGCTTTGCACGTGGCTGCCTCATTTGATAGTCCCACCAGCAATGTATGAGCATTCTAATTTCTCCACATCCTTGCCAATATTAGTTATTTTCCATTTTTAAAATTATTATTATAGCCATCCTAATGGGTATAAAGTGGCACCTCATTGTGCTTTTGATTTGCGTTTCCCTAGTGGCTATGACGCTGGGCATCTTTTCACGTGCTTGACAGCCACTGATAAATCTTTTTCGGAGAGACATCCTTCAACATTTTACCTTCTCGCCTTAGTTTCCAAAGAGTCCCATGGTCTTCTAGAAGGGGCCTCAGAGGTTTTCACAAGCAGCGACCTCAGGAAGAAATGTTGGGGTTTCCTCAAACCCTTTCCTTCCAGGAAGTTTATAGGTTCTTCATGCGCCCCCAAGCTCTACTCACCAAGAGGAGTTTGGGGAGATGGCTTTGCCAAACTCAAGAAAAATAAAGTCCTTCCTATTTATTACTCCCTCTCCCAGGGCACGACGTACTTTACTTAAGAAAACTACTCGAGTAATTTATTTTTTCCAAAATAAAGAAGACTGCTTCCAGCTGAACCTACCAATAGAAGCTACTCTTGCTTAAAAAAAAAAAGAGAGAAAAAGAAAGAAAAAATATATACACACACATATATACACATTTTATCTATAAAGATCTATTTAAAAATTATATATACAAATATAGTTGTACAAATTTCAGAGAGTAAAAACAGCCCTATGTGAACGTCATAAAACATAAGGTAATCCCCCAAATCTTTCTAATTCCAAATCAATGTTTTTACAGTATTTCCTAAGGTTTCACAGTCATGAGATTTGGTGCCTTCGACGTCTCTACCCAAGGTGGCAGGGTTATCTATCCACTGTGGCCCGAGCAAGCCCGAACTCTCCCGCGGGGCCGAAAGGGCTGATCCACAGCTTTCCCACAGGCTGCTGTTCATCAGGACCCCCAGCACACAGAACTGCCCACATTTCTGTGCAGTGACGGCCAACACCCTTAACGAGAAGAAACCGGAAGGATTTTTTGAATCGCTAAGGGAAGGTTAACACTAATTACCATCAGCAAGTTGACTATGTTTTATCATCGTCAGCTTCTTTCTTTACGATTGGTTTGTTCTGAAAGCTTGGAAGGGCGCACAAGGACTGTGGGTTCCTCCGGGAGAAGGTGAAATTGGATGGGGGTGCTTTCACTTTTTACTCCATATTTTTTGGAATCGGATTGTTTGGGAGCTAGGGCGTTGTTATTTAGCCTTGTCGGTTGACTACTCGTTACCAGGCAAGGCTGGATTGCTAGAGAAGGCTTTTGTGAGCTCTGAGGAAAGCCTCGCCCGTTTGAACTGGGCTAATCCGGGTCATTATTGTCATGATTAGGGAATCAATTTACATGGCGGTGGTTGTGCCAATCAGCAAATACCATAGAGCGCAATGTAATGTTTAACGCATAAACAATTTCATTGCAAAACAGAGGCTCCCTTCTGAGGCCCTTTTCACTCCTTTAAATTACCACGTGGGGTCCATCGGGCTCTTCCAAGATAGGATCCCTGAGTATTATACACGTTATTGCATACTTGATCTTGGAGTAAGATCGGGAAGAAAACCTATTACGTGAATATGAATTTTTTGGAAAAAATACCCACGAGCCAATCAAATTCTCCTAATTATATAACACTCCCACGAAAGCCAATACAGGGTAGCATGCTGGTGAGGGACGCCAACGCTGGATCAGAAAGCCTGAAGCTGAACTGCAGCTCTGCAAACCGCAAGCTGAGAAACCCTCAGGAAGTTACTCACCCTCTCTGGGCCTCGCTAGCCTCGTCTGTGAAGAGGAGATAATACAAATATTTCCTTCATGGAGTTGGTGTGAAAACAAGGTGAGATACGGTCCGGCACACAGTAAGCTCTCGCTGCGAGCGATTTCTTAAATCAATTAATAACGTAACGAGAATAGTCTGGACTGGGCTCTGAGGTCACATTCTACAATTACTGTTAGGACAGGGAGCCAAGTAGCTGAGAGGTCAATGATTCATAAAATCAGCAGGGAGGCCTCCTCCCAAGGGTTTACAATTTACTGAACACATCGATGATTTTGTAATTGTATAACTTTAGGCTTTAGTCAGCCGGTCAAGGGCAGTGCAGCTTCGAGGCAGAGCTGGCAGGCAGGGGAGGAGAGAGAGGCTCTTGCCTGGGATTTTGAAATTACCCTTCACAGATCTGTACTTCTCAATTCCTCTTAGCTCAGTTGTTTTCCTTGCTTCTTGGCAAAACAGACCAAAACATAGCAACAGCCACCCTCTCTGGATGAATCCCTGGAGGTTTTCTAATTGCTTTGGAGGAAGACACTTAATCTATCACAGTTGCTGGAGAGATGCTGGAGAGTGACACAGTGGACAGTCCTTCAGTGACGTTCACGAGTGAACCTCCAACCTGGTATGAGACTCCTCACAGAAGGTTCTTACTACGTCTCTGCCACGACTTTACATGCTAAGGACTGTGCGGAAGGATTTTATACTCGAGAAAAGCAAATTCCAACATAAAGGAAATATATGTTTGCGAAATCTCCTTCAATTACCTAAAGAAATCGTCAGAGTTCTCAACTCTCTCAGGAATTCGACTTTCTCGCTGTGAGTGAAGCTTTGTGATTTCTTCTCAGATCTTTGGCAAAAGAAAAGTCAGTTTCTCCTTCTGGTGGTCACGAGTGTTCCTTACTGTCTTTAGGAACTAATTCTAAAAATCTGTGGCTATCACGTATTTCCACTATTGTAGAGGTGTGACAGGTGTTCTTCTGTGGGACGCCGGCGGGCCTGCTGCCACCGTGGTGAGGAGCGGAAGTGAGGTCTCGGGCACCGTTTTTAAAGCACTGGGTTGCAGTTCAGTAGTGAGGAGTAAATTCAATTTAGTGGGTTGCGAAAAGCAGTAAAAAATTCTAATCCAATAGAAAAATAAAAGTTACTCCTTTATCACTAAGTTTCTTAACCTCTTTCTCTCTGATCAATTTTTTTTTTTTTTTTGTCTCGAAGCCTGTTTTATCTGATATTAACAACGCGAGGGCACTTTCCAAGGCCACTGTGCGTGGGGTTGGTGTTTGTGTTGTATATCCGTCTCCATCTTTCATTGTTGTGTTTCCTGTACCTCTGGCACAGAGGCAGATTACTTTTGAGCTCATAATCACTTTAGTTCTAATTCCAAGTTTGCCCAGGTCTGAGGCCTTGTCTTTTATCCAGGGGCCAGTAAACTTATTTATTGTAGAAGGTCCGAGAGCAAATATTTCTGCCTTTACGGGCCATACAGTCTCTCCCAGTGACCCAACTCTGCCATTAGAGCACAAAAACAGCCATGGACAATGTCTGAAAAGAGGCGGGACTGTGTTCCAATAAAACTTTATTTAGAAAAACAGGCAGCAGACCAGAGTTGGTCTATATATAGGCTACGGTTTGCCAACCCCTGCTCTTATCCTTGAATGGGCATGAGAACTGTAGCACCCAGCTTCCCTTCCTGCCTCTTCCATCTTTCTGTGTGTATTACGTAAATATGACTATTTTAACCCAATTTACTTGATGTTACTGAAATCACTTGGGACACTTGTTATACATAGCATGCCAGGTTCTTACCCCACAGATCCTGATTCGGTCCATAGGAGGCGGAAGCGAGGCGTCAGTGTTTAGCGAGAGACCCAGGTGATTTAATGACCTGAAAAGTTTAGGAATTCCTAAGGGAAGAAGCTGTGAGGAAGAAACTTAATGTGACAAGACTTCCCGCCCTAACATCTGTATGACTTTGTCCCAGCTCTTGCTCACGTGATGCCAGTCGATGACTGCAAATCTTTAAAACTAAGGTCGAGAAGGCTCAGGCTGTACGTGTGTGGTCGGGAGGCAGGGTCTGTGTGACTCACGGAGCAGCTGCTCTCCGGCAGAGAGCCTTTTCAGCAGCTCTAGAAAGGCCTTCTCCCAGGAAGCCACGCCTATTTTTTTTTTTTACTAAAGTTCCTTTAATAATAAAGCACGTCGCAGTATGTCCTTGGAAAAAACGGACTCTCCTCCAACAGCTCAGTTGATGACAACTGAGATAAAGTTCGTCCAGCTTTTCCTGGTACTTGCTTCCCCAAAGACTCAGGGAATGATTAAGTCGCAAAAGCATTTGAAGTATTCGGTGAACTTTCCGATGATTTATAGGGTTAAATTACAGGAAAGTTCGCTATGCCGAAGACCATGTTATCGCACGATGCTTTGATCTCTTCTCGACCATTCATACCCAGAGCTGGCGTTGATGTAGTTTCAGCTGCCCAGATGTGT